CCGTGAGTGCTGTTCGACAACCAGAGCGAAGATGGGCTCAGACGGTTACGACGGCAATTACGGCCGGTGCTATGCTGAAGCAGATCGGGAATATCCAGTTTGAATTTCCCCTCTTTTGGCACACGCAATAGGGTGATATGAGTTGACTGCAGTTTGTTGATACTGAACCTTTTGCTTACGCCACTACCGTTATCCGTGCTTTAACTTCACCCTTTCTTTTTCTTACTTTTACTTCCCGTCGCCTTAAGTTATTCATAAATGTTCATTCGATCACTGATTTCTTCCTTCTCACCTCCCTATATCGATGTTTTCCTTCGCCCTTTCTCCCGCTTCATATTCCTCCCTTTCGGTTTCCCTAGTAGTATTCCAAATAAGCTTTTGTTCTTATTCTTAGTGGGAAATTCTTTTCAGTGCCACCTGCACCACAGTCAGAGGGAAACCATACATTGCCTGACCATTGTGCGCGGTAAAGCTGAATAACGTAGTGCTTTGTTTATCTCCAATCTAGAGGCAATACCACGTTATTTATAGCCGAAAGACAGTTGGCCACCACATCGTCGCAGTGAACGCGATTCAGTTCATCAATCGGACGCAATGAACTGTGTCTTCTCAACTCAGAAGTGCTTCCTGCTGGTGATTCGTGATCGTCTGGACCATCCAACTGCTATAGCTTTTGGCTCTCTTCGGAAACCATTCACCAGGAAATATCTTTCTTATTCTTTACATACGCACTTGGGGTATTCGGTCAAAGTTGCTGATAAAGTGAGGAAAACCGAGCACCGAGTTCCTGTTGGAAGCTGTCTACCTTAGACTTCATTCTCCTCCTAGTTTATATCATTTGTATAACAAATCACTTAATTGTAATAGTCCAAAATGTCAGAACGCAAGCCCTTAATCGTATAACGATGTCTGCAGGTGGACAGAATCCAGTTTGTGCAGGAAAGACGGCAGCAGCAGCACAATCACAGCCTAAGATCCCCATAGCACTGGCAAACCCCTGTAGTCGGGGTGACAGTAGCACATCTCCAGTCACACCGTTGGTGGAAACTAAAGCATGGGGGAAACGCGCTACGTCTGGCATCACCTTACAGAAAGTAGGCCACTTAGTCGTCAACAAAGAGAGAACCTCTGGCGACTGTGGTGTTTGCAAAGAATCGGTGTTGGAGGCTCAGAGAGCCTTCGCGTTCAACATCTGTCTTAGATGGGTACACTGTAACTGTGACAGTGACTTACCGTGGCTGTGTTACAGCTTCAAGAGGGAGTACTCATGTAAACAGGTGTCAGTAATCACCGGCTATCACCACTGGAAAACTGGAAAACCTGGTTCAGTCAAAAGTGTTACAAAGAACCAGCTCCAATAATCTTCCCTCAGGATGCTGTCTATCTCCATAGGTGTGCGAAAATGCCGTAATTAGGGGCAGGAAGAAATTGGTTACCACCTCAATTGAGACACCGAAAAGGTCCTCGCTTGTTTCACCGCCACCCAGACGACCTAAAGGGACTGAACAACCTGAAGAAATAGGTTGCTCTGAGAACGAATGGACGAAGGTGAATAGGGTAAGGGGTAGACCGAAAGCGCTGGATACCGAGCCTGATGTTCCACACCTACAGGACAAGAGAAAGGGCTCCATCATTCTGCTAAACGTCACTCTCAGAAAAAAAGAACAGTCTGACAAGGAGAAGTGGCATGGCTACTGCAGAAAGTTGTGAATAGAAACCATCTCAGCCAACTTATGCTGGCTCCCCCGGGGAAGTGGAGCACCTTGAGACAAGCTGCCACCACTCAGGGTATCGGCGGTGACGGCGAAACAGTAGGAGAACATACTGCTGCTGTCGCACCAGCCAGACATTGCAGGCTCCTGCATCATAAGGGTGAAACTAGACAAATCCTGTGTCACCAAAGAGGCGGGGCGGGATCCCCCTCTTAGTGACCTGCACAAGGCTGCAACCATGGTGGTGCACGGAATGTCCAAACTGGCGGGTGGATCCACAAAGTGTGACAACTACCTTCATGATGTCGAGCGTCGGAGGTGGTTTGCAGCAAAAATGGGACTTGGGAATTTGCCTGCCAGCAGCGTAAGTAGGTTACCAAGACCTACGCACCTACGCTTTGGCTGCAAATCATCGCTAACAGAAGCTTTCATGGCATGCTACCGTGTGAAAGACCATATGTGAGGTGCTATGCGGTGCTGTGAGGGCAAACCACGAGCTGCCAGACTAGGAGATGGGAGGCAACCTCCGAGAACACTACAAGCAGTACTAGTCAGAAACGAATAAGCTAGTGAGCTACCTGTGGGCACAATAAACAGTACTGACACACCAGCAGCAGGATGCCAGGAGGGGTCGATAAACAGAGACCTGCCAGTTCAGTAGGGACTGGCAGGCAGAATCCGATGCAGCGGCACACTAGCTTCCAAACAAGTCCCCACATCGCACTAAGCCCAGGATGTAGCTCATTAACACGCTTCTACAGCAATGTAAGAGGTATTAGGAGTAAACTGCTGGAGCTAAAAACAATGTGCCATAACCCGCAGGAAGACATAATTCTCCCCACGGAGACGTGGCCATCAGAAGACATCACGGACAGGGAAATATGTTTGCCTAACATGACGCCATTTAGAAGGGATGGGTGATTCAAAGGAGGCGGGGGAGTCGCCGCATATACTAACACTCATTTAAAAGTCAGGGAAGCGAGTGCTGGTGTGTTCAGCTTACTACCAGACTCCTCATGGTGCTATTTCACCACAAACCAGGTGTCTAATAGGAGTGGTATATAGGCCTCCCCTTTGTACGACAGACCATGAGGCACAATTGCCCAGTGCCATCTCAACAACCACCTCGGCAGCCTGTGACCATGTAGCCGTCACTGGAAACTTCAACACACTGGCACTCAACCCTGGGTTTGAAGTAAGATACGGGCATAAGTCTTTCGAACACAAACTTCAAAAAAAGATCACGCATTGGTGAGATTCTCTCTGATATCCAACGAGACACTGCCAATAGTTGAGCCAGAAGCGTTTCGCTATTACCGAGAAGCAGACTGTTACCTCATGAACAACGAATTCCTGGGGCAGCATAGTCTTAAGAATGGCATTCACTATCGATAGACGAACACTGGACACATTTTGGAGATATTATCATGTGTGCTACCGAAAGTGTTCCAAACTTAACCGGACGGCCACCTCTCAAGCGTTCTTGGGTGACTCGCGCAATCCAAGGGCAAACAGAGAGGAAAAAGAAGGCGTGGTACCGGTGGCGTACATCGCGCAGAGAATCAGACCCTCATATAAGAATTCGTAACGACAGCTATACATACCAAAGCAACCTGGCTAAACAGTTAGGCTGCAACCCGAAAAGTCTGTATCGGCTTATGTCACAACGCAAACCGACGAATTAGTGCCTAAGCCTGATCAAAGGGCCATAAACTGGATGGCCGCTTGGGATGACTGGACTTCCAGATGGCGAAACAAACAAACAGTTCATGTTATCTCCTTGGGTTTGACCAAAGCTTTTGACAGCGTCCCACACCGCATTATGATCGCCAAGCTAGCAAAAGTGGGTATCACTGAACCACCCTTAGCATGGTTTACAGCATACCTCAAGGTCAGAGGATTCTGCACTAAAGTAAACAGAATTCCATCAACCTGAAGGAAAGCAAGAACAGGAGTTTCCGAGGGAGCAATCCTTGGACCAATCCTATTTTCACTATTCATCAATGACCTCCCCGTTAGAATCTCCTCGTTTATCCTCCTATTCGCCGACGACATCAAAATGTGGAGGACGACAGGTGACGAAGAGGATCCTAGGATATTCCGAAACGACCTGTTGCAGCTGGAGTCCCGGTCAGCTGCAAACGGTTTAAGTTTTAGTCTGGAGAAGTGCAAGGTGATATATCTTTGCACACCAAAGGTGATGAAAATCAACTACACTCTTAACAAGCGTGCGATCACCAAGGTGTCCACAGAGAAGAACCTGGGACCAAACTTTTCTGACACGCTGGTATCTGTAGGGGAATGGTAGCAAGGGCGAACGCCATTGTGCAATTTCTAAGAAGGCAACCTGGATTGTTAACTACAGAGTTATACCTCATGGTATTCAAAACCTACGTTAGACCACACCTAGAGGTGTTCAACACGATAGCCCCTCCACTACCAAAGATAGATGCGAGTTCTCTCGAGAAGGTGTAGACAAAATCGGCAGAGTCGGTTGTCAGACTAACAGGCAAAACATGCGCAACGCCTCAGACACTCAACTTGTTCACACTATCGAAGGAGATGAGGTGCTCTGATAACAGACTACAAGATCATACACCAAGTGGACCACCCAAATAGGACAACAGTATCGGTCCAAACCGACAATCCCGTGGGAACCCCACTCGCATACCCCATCAAAGGGCGAGACTAGAGTGAGACCTAACTTCTTCTCCCATACAGTATGCGGCTTATGGAAGGCACTGCCGAAAGAAGTGGCCACAGCTGCACCAGCCAACTTCTTCAAACGACTACTGGATGAGTATGTGAGCGCAAATGGCTTACCACGAACATTTGTTAGTAGCAACCGATGATATGATCTTCTATCCCTGTATTCCCTAACCCTAGTATCTGCAGTAAGACACACTTCTCCTCTATATTGTTGCCAGTCACATTTACCTTTTTAAAAGTACTTTTCACTTCTTTTTTTCTCATTCCCCACTCATCCCGCTTCTATCACTTTTTGAGTGACGCTTAACACTTAATTGCAGGTGCCTAAAATGACGGGAATTGCAAAAGGGTGATTGATCTTATCAGCAGCCCCGTTGCCCCCTCCCTAAACAAACCAAGCTACAATTTGCAAATAAGACCTTCAAATCGACAAACACTACCTCCAAATCTATAAGCAGGAAAACGCAAAGACTCCTGCGACCATCGAAGGAGTATGAGGGAACAAAAAGAACCAAGCCCCAAGACCTAGAAGCGAGAGCTCAAAAACTGCAAGTTTACTCTACTCACATTGTTGATGTTGGATGTTGAACCGTCTCCTGGTTAACCAGAGATACAGAGAGCAAGTGAATGAATCATTTTCATTGGAATGCACGGAAGACCTGGTGCCATTTCTAATGTGTCAAGAAATTGTTTCACTCATGCAAGTTAGTATAATGGATTTTGGATACTGGGAATTGTCTTTCAATAACGAGTTTGTGTAGGTCGTTTGCCAGCCGGTGGTTTGATTCTTGTAAGATTATCATGCAATGCGAGTGTTTAGCAATTGGGGTCATAAAGTCGATCCAAAAGTTATACCTAGAGGTTCAGTTACCCAACGGTTCTCTGGGTAGAGTTAATATTTATGATGTGAGCGATAAATATACAGAGTTATTGAGGGTAACTGCAGAAACTGGTGTTATACAGGTGAATACATCTACTTTTGATTCCTAGCTTCCACAGGATGATCTAGTAGAACTTTCGGATATGTTTACAGTTGGACAGATTGTAAGGTGCTACATAAAGGAGACTGTTAGCAGTCGTGGGGCTGGTGGTATTAAGAGCTGTATCATTTCCTTAAATCCAAAAATGGTAAATAAGGCTGTAATATGCAGGAATATTAAGCCGTATATGGTGTTTATCGGATCTGTCATGAGTATCGAAGATCATGGTTATCTTTTGGACAGCGGTGTTCCCGGAATTAGCTGCTTCCTGCCTACTGATCAAGCTGCCGGTTCGTGCATTTATAATATATTCAAACCTTTTAGGTAATCTAATCATCGGGAGTTTAGTTACCTTCACTCCCCATGTATCAGATCCACTAAATTTCATGAGTACTGGTGTTGATAGAGTAATGAGAGTTACTACTCGCTTGGATCCAAAACTTTCTGTGGTTGGTGTTCGAATTAAACTTAATTGTTTTTAGATTAAAGCAGATTCACATATTCATTTTGATTGCCTACTTCCTGGTACATGCATCACCGCATCAGTCGTGAAAAAAGTCACATCCACTTTGATCGCGAAATTCTCAGACTATTTAATTTCCATCTCACGGACTCATTACATTGGGAACAAAGAAGACTATCCGACGGGAACCAGTGTAAGATTTTGGTACAATTTACTGTGTAGATATCGTAAATTATTGTATCCGTAGTAAAAGGTGTACGTGGCTAAAGGATCTGCTGTTAGTCAGCAATCCCAGTAGTACTACTGTTTTCTTTTCCGTGTATCTTCCCTCCTCCAAGTATCTCTAAATTTAACCTCAGCCCATAGATCATCTGTTTCTTATGATTATTTTGATCAACCATTATACCTGTTCATGTCAGAAATCTATTATAGCTTGAGTATAATAGAGGTCTGCCTGCATATTCCATTTCTTTCCTAGAAATATTTTCTTTCAAAGCCGACTTTTTGAAACATAGAGTATTTAAAATGGACTAACTTCAATCGCTTACGGGTCGCGGCACATGCATTTGCCTTTTATCTTATGTCCAACACTCGGTGGCCCACTCAAATTGAGTCTCTGGTCATTTCTATTTAATTAAAATTGCTACATTGACGAGACGTTTTTGGTGACAGTAGACGTAATTCACAACCAACTTTTGAGTTCTGTTTCAAGTTTTCGCAGCTTGCTCCGAAAGTTCCATCACCACATTTAACTACCTGGACCTCCATCTTTTGCACATTTTCCCGACTGCATTTCGTGTCATCAGGCCATAACTTCATTTTTGTATATACTTTTGTTAGGTTTCACAAATAAACTCAATCAGCATAATGTAGGTTTTAGGAATTGAAATACCTTTCTTCAACGTGAGATATACAATAACGAAGATTTAGTAAATTTCCGTAACTTCAGTATGTTGTGCCAAGAGTCTACCTATTAGCAGAACAGGGGAATTCATGACTTCCGCAGTACTTAATATATTTCCTTTTTTTACACTTTATGTTTTAGGTTACTGTTTGCATAATACTGGTTGATCCTAGCTCAAAACAACTTACAGGCTCTTTGCTCCCCCATCTAGTCAACCCAATCTCTTCAATTCTCAACGTTTCAGAAATGTTCACAAAATGTCCTGTTGGTAAACGTTTTTCAAGTGCAGTGGTAATGCAAATCACTAAGCGTGCAGTTCTCGTCAAGCTACCAAAAACAGATGGATTAAAAGCACTTATAAGAGTATGCAAATAATTTAGTTGTCTTCCTGATTATTTTTCGTATTTTGACCGAAATCCTCAGGTGGTCATGCGTCGAAGTGAGGGAACTGGCCATTTTGAAATATGATGACCCTTTATCTGTTTAAATGTTTGAGATATTTCACGCAAAGCATTATGCTCAGAACTCAACATGAATCCTCGTATATCTAATTATAAGGGAAAGAGTAAGACCATTATTAGGATTTATAATCTATCTAGCTATGTTTGATATGTAATTCATAATATGCGGTCGGTACGAACATTTCTTTAGATAAGTGCTTGAAAATCTAAAGACCTGTTATATTCCCATTTCTTTGAGATTAAAAAGTAAACTTCTTGGTAACCTCTTGGGAATCTCACGAACTTCCTATATGTATGTACCATAGTATATCTGGATAGGTTATTTACTATAGTGTGTGTCAGTAGTAAGTTTTTCTGGTCATAACCTCTGAATAAGCGTCAAAAAATATGAATGTATCAATCTACATAATGATTTTATAACTTGGTCTAGCTTAAAGTTTTATGCAACTGAACTCTATCACCTTTATAAAACTACTTTCCTCAGTTAGTGACTGGGATTAAAATTCACGTTTATGTTTTGAATATAAACAGCTAAAACTCTCATGAATTGTTATTGTTTCACCTCATTCATTTTCAGAAGCCTAAATCTGAGGAGAAAAATGATGAAACTTTTAAGTCACTGGTTGTTGGATCAAAAATGACATGTCGTATAACTGATCATGACTTTCTGGAGAATGTGGCCATAGCTACAGCGAACAAGTATGAAAAATGGTTATTTTAATGATGTATACTTTATATTATACAGATATATTTCATTTAAATACTAGTCCTATGGTTAAGCTGCTTAAGATAGCAAAACCCAGAGTTTAAAAACATTGTGACATACTTCGAAATCGATGACTGCCCAAGAGGTTTTGTCATTCTTTATCGTACCCTAAAATGTGCCAGTTTTATTACCTGGGGCTTATACAGTGTACTTACTGCTTTTTTATTGCTAAACTGTTACAATTTACTACACGGTCACCTTCTTTCGATGGGACAAAATACGTGTGATTAGTTTGTGAATTATTAGAAACCTTGATTCACTAATCTACGTGTTCATTCATGTTGAATCGCCTCCTAACTTTTGCGTCGAATATTATTGATACTGACAGCAATAATTTTCATCACATTATACCGTCTTTTGATTGAATAAAATGTTATTCCTATTCTTCCCAACCGATAGCTGATTCCTCAAGGTGGTTGTAGGGCTCACATATTACAATGGCTCAACGAGCTTTTCTGGTGAAAACATTTGTCCCTTATGGCCATAAAATATTAGCAAGGTCTGTTAAATAGTTGCAAGACAAAAATATTCAGCGTTATAATGCAAATTGCTAGGTTATGATTAGGGTTCGAAGGCGAAGTTGTATTCATAACAGGACGGGAGTTTGACAGCAGTAAGGTGTTTCCTGTGCTATTTCGTGCCAAATAGATATATAAAAACCACAGAAACTAGACCAGGAGCAGCTCAACAATGAGAATGCTAAAGCTGCTTTCAAAGATGGACTCGCTAGATAACCATCGGAACTGGACAAGGCGATCCATCATAAAAAGCCTGGCATCGTCTCCCGTTTGCCTCAGAATAGCGTTGCAGACCATAACAGAGTCTCAGAAAAAGGTTAAAAGGAGTTGGTGGGTCTCAATACCCCCTGAATTAATGCATGTAATTGAGCACATTTCTGCAGGCTCCGAGCACAATGAATGGAAGCAACTCAAACGTAGACTGACAAATACTTCACTTAATGATCGTGAGAAGTCGTAAGTAGAGGAAACTAGAGACAAAAAAGGAAGTGGTAAGTTACAATTAGTTTGATCTGACCAAGGAAACGAGCGAATTTGGCAATGGTTGGTGAGACTGTAACTATGAAAGATGGGTCTGTGGTTCATTCGCTGAGGCAACAACTAGAACAGTTCAACTGGTCTTTAGCTACTATTTCTTCACTCATGATCCAGTCGAACCATCAGCGGTATACTGAGATAGGCGCTACAACTCCCAACTGTTAGCTGCTAGCTTGACGTGGTGGTCGGGCTTGCACATTACAATGGCCCAATAAGCTGTGCTGGTGGAACGCTTGTTTCCTTGGGGTCCTGCCATACCAGAAAGGCTTGTTGGACGAAAAGCAGTTACCGTTGTGTAAATTACTACACTTTGACGGGGGTCTGAGGGCGAAGTCTTACTTTCGCTAGCTGGATGGTGTGTGACAGCAGTAAGGTGTTTCTTTTGGACGACTAGCAGTGACATGTTGATGGTGCCTTCTTAACGGAAATGGAGGGTTTTTCCTTCATTTGCCTTCACCTCTTGATACTAATACTAGACCTCTTACGTTTCACCTAACGTTTCGTTTCCAACCATTTCCAACGATCAAAGCCATCGATACCTCATTCCTAGTCTCCAAAGACTCCGCTATCGACTTCATGTAGGAGCTTTCAATGTCCAAATTCTATGCCGAATCGGACGCCGAACATCGCTCTGCAGAATTCTGGAATCTCTAGCCATGGATGTATCTTGTATCTCTGAGACACGTATACAGAACCCGAGGGTGGTTATCAAATTGACCCCTCCTAATCATAGTGGTGAATCTCCAAAATTCACTGTACGAGTATCCGGTGACCCAATGTCTAGCTTTCGTAGGTGTGGCATTGAACTGTAGGGCAGAAAGTGAGCTTCTCAACTGGATATCAGTAAACAGCCATCTATATGCTGTTCGACTGAATGGATCTGTAAGGATAAGGAAGGATCATGAGACTAGATGATGCTCATTTGTAAATCCCGCCTATGCACCCACCGACTATAGTTTGGATGATGCAGAAGATGAATTCTTTGAGAAGCTGTCAGCGTTGCCACAGAAAGCGAAACGTTCAGATGTAATCATAATGGAAGGTGACTTTAACGCTCAAGTAGGGAAGCTGACCCGATCGAAAAGACATCTTGAGGGTATTTACGGAATCTAATGCAAACAAACCGACAACAGTGATTGTTTGTTGTAATTTTGCTCCGAAAATCACTTGTTATTGACCAGCAATAACTTTAGACATAAGGAGGGGCACTGTCTCACATTGTGTCCGCCGACACCAAACCAACTATTGCTAAATCATATTGCTATAAGCCATCGGTGGAAGGTTGCCACTCTTTCTGAATTACCAGTTTGGAATCCGATCACGCGTTGGTACGGGCTCGTATCTGTCTGCGTCTTACTGGTCACAGGAAACCGGCGGTAGTAAAGCCTGTCTATATTTGATTGGAAGATGAGAACATCAAGTCCGAATTCGGGGAGGAGTTAACTAAGCATTTATGTGAACAAGACAGCGATGCTTATCCTGAGGAAACCTGGTGTGATATTAAGTCTGTTGTAGAAGCAACGGTAAAGACAATTGTTAACCTATACCCAAGGGTTAGCCAAACATCATTGGATTTCCGAGACGTCATCCGAAATAATTGATGCGATAAGACTGATTCCAGCAACTTAAACATGAGTTGACTAAGAGTCGTCGCAACGATCGCGAGCGGTAGTGGGTAGCAAAAGTGAGAGATATGGAGAAGACATCGGCTTTGGGTTACACTCGGTAACTACTTAGACGTAATAAGGATATGGACAAGACAAAGACGATGGTTAGTGCAACCGTCACCGAAGATGAGACGTTAATAACCTCCTAGGACAGGTGGCTAGAACGTTGAGCAGAACACTCTGAAGCACAGTTCAACTGGTCCTCAGCAGCGCCTTATTTGCCCAACATCCAGCCTGAACCTGAATGGGACGTAAATGTTGGCCCTCGAACTCTTCTTGAAGTTGAGAAAGTCGTATCGAACCTAAAGTGAAGCGAAGTACCAGAACCTGATAGTTCGCCACACGAGGTTTCCAAGGATGGAGGTAGAAAATTATTGCTTAGAGCGACGGAGGTACTAGGTAAAATCAGTGGTAGTACCGTCAGTTTAGTGTACTTCACTGGTCATTCCAGTCTATAAGAAGGGGGCGGTAGGAGAGGAGTCTTGTGACAACCATAGGGGAATTAGATTGACTGGTATTGTGTTCAAGATCTTTGGGTTCATAGTTATCCGACGCATAACTGGAGCTTGAGAACAGCGAATCCGAGTAAACTAGGCAGGTTTCACACCTAGTCGAGGGTGCATCTATCATATTTTCACCCTCTGACAGGTTCTGGAGCACAGGTATACCTACCGGCGGCTGTCACTTGCCATATTTCTCGACCTGAAGATGGCATTCGGCTCTGTTGACCGTGGTGTATTGTGGCGGTGTCTGACTGTGAAGGGAGTATCGAGCAAATACATAACGCTAATCAAAGGGATTCCAACTGTCACCGTCCCTACTTAACTTCATCATAGGCGTACTATTCGACACAACGTCAAGTACCTCTGACTTCACGGAGATTGATCTACTCCTTAGAGGTCATCTGGTTGACTTGGAGTATGCAGAAGATATTATCCTGCTAGTTAAAAACGCTGACAAAATGCAGGGTCTCCCGAATGAGTTGAGCAAATTCTGAGTATCCTTGGCATGTGTTTCACTGTCACCCGTCAAATGTAAGTTGATGCCCCAGGACTGGTCTGCTGCAAGTACTCCCAGTTTAGTGATAGGTGGTGAAGTGGCGGATTGTGTCGACCACATCACTAACCTAGGGAGTTGTATCAACCCGATTAGGTTGGTTGCAGACAAATTCTCAGATTGGATACAGAAGGCCCGTTTATTATTTGCCAACTTGCGTCATCTGTGGCGCCAACTGGCGAGGTATCTGACTATCTATCAAAGGATGAATAAACTGCTCGACAGTTGGTTCTGTCATGTTGTACGGTTGTGGGATATGGCCGTTGAAAGTGGAAGACATGAAGTGGTTGCAGGTTTCTGATCACAGATGTATTCGTAGCATTGCTCGCATGTGGTAGAATCACCATATTGATGACGTTAAAGTCGGGTGAAAGGAAGGTGAGTCAAATGCTCAAGTTACCAAAGTTCGGTGACAGAGGTACCTTCTATGTGTGCTTCGAATGCAGAGCCACTGCCTACCTCGATGTGCCATGCTAGGAGAAGTTGTAGTATGTTAGAAGCCAGACCAATACTTGTCATTGATACATGAATTCCATGACTATTGATGTGAACTATGTAGGGAGGTGTGGATCACCTGTTTGAGGTTCTCGAGACTAACGGAACCAGTGGTTGATGACTTTTGGTGATATGGCTGAAAATCGGTCATAATGACGCAGATATATTCACTCCTTCACATCTAGGGCTTGGATACTCACACTAACTTTTACCTTTAAATTGCTTATTCTTTCGCACAACTTTATGTACTTTGATATCACTGCTTTTCTATCCACCTATACTTCGTGTACTACTGTGAAGCGTGGAAACTCAAGTCGATGCACTTGTGTGCAAATTTCTACATTGATTTTGTCAGTCCGTCAGTTACCTCCAGCTGTTACTGCAGTTGAGAAGGTTGTAAGTAATCAAGAACGGTAAATTGCGTGAGTGATAATTCCGGAGCCACCTAGCCATAGTTGTCTAGGTAATGATCTGGGACTACATTAATTGTTGTTTTGGTGTGGTCACTCATATATTAATTCTCAACCAGTTCAACTCCAACAAGCATTTCGGGTTGAGGCAAGTGTGTAGTCAAGTTAATTATCATTATCATATTTATCAATGTTTCTTCCTAGAAGGTACTTTTATGTAAATGGAATCATTTTGCAAGTTATTTGGTTTTCAATACAACACATGAGTCAATTCATAGAACAAGTTTCACTTCATCTAGGGCCTGTTGATAATATTACATTTGGCTAGTGGTGAATCGTACCATAGTTTCTGAAAATATTATTAATACAATCTAATCTTCAGTATTTCATGTTGAAAAGTTTTTAAAGTCAGAGAAAGGGAGAAGCAAAACTTCATTAGCATGGTGAGTTCTTACAAAAATGAAGAAACATCCTTGAGGGACATCACTCCATATAGACGACTCACCTAATAGTTCACCACAGGCACTGACATGGAGATAGGTGTTAGAGTGTAGGACTTTAATCCAGATCCTGCACTTGCTACACAAGTTTTCCGTTGAAATGCCACCATAGGACCTCTGTTGAGATAGTCAAATGCCATCTCCAAGTCCATAAATACAAAAGATTTGAAAATATCTGGAAGAGTGAAGTATAGGTCAACGCAGGCGTGCCTGGGTCTGAAAACAACTTAGTTTTTTCGGATTTTCTGTTTTTGAGCTCCAGTTGTGCATCGAATTACTATAGGATCCAGAATCCTGGACACCATTTAGGTTGGGTTGATTCATTTGTGGTTATCACAACCAGAATTTTCTCGTTTCTCGAAATCCAGAGTAATCAGCAATTGAGGCAAATCAAATGGTATGATATCGTATTCCTATGTTCTAGCCAAAATTTCAGTCTCATCAATAGTCCTGGATTACCCTTCTCAATACCACAAGACCTGCTGCTCGTACTTGCATAAGGTTATCAGTGTTCTCTCAATTTCTAAAAAAGCCGGAGATCAGATGATAGTCTTAGACTTTTCCAATGTCAGTTATTATTTCTGTGTAAAACCTCACAGTTAAATCTGTACAGGAAACTTCCAATATATTCTGAACATTAAGTTAGGGTTATTTATATGAACCATCTGTAAAATTACTCTGCTTCTTGCTACTTCCTATCCTAAGTTAAAATGTATTTATCTGAATCTTGTGGAGGAATGTAGGCTTTATGATTGAGAACTGTGAAACAACGTGGGTGTATTTATCTGTCTATTATGTGTCTTAGTGTGACTATTGGAAATATTGTTATTTTTTAGCTTAGTTTTTTTATTCTTTGTCCGTCCCTTTGCTTATTTTCTGCATCACATTGTCACGAGCAACATTTTCACTCATTGCTGAAACATTTCTCCTACCTGCTTTTTGAATTCAACAGCTAGATTATTTTTGTACTGCTCAAAGCATAAACTGTGGAATACAGACATCGAGGAGTGCGCCATAAAAATAACATAACAGTACGAAAATACAAAAATAAATATAAAAGGAAGGAAATAGATAAGAATAGAAATATTAACGGATCGGTAAAAGGGCTTTCTGAAGCATGTATTCAAACAAGCATTCATCACCTATATTTTACCTTTCAATAACTGAGGAAGCGAAACAGCTGCAGTGTGACCGCCACTGGTTTCGATTCCGAGTAATATCTACTATCGTCTTAAACCATTGTATTACATGGTCTCTCGCATCCCATCCTGGGAGTAGTAATGGGTGCTAACCCACCACAACTGTCCTTCATCCCACAGCGCCTCCACCGTTCCGCTTCTTCTCTCGGGGACTTTTAAGAGTAGCAAATAATGAACGGTAAAGAAGCCGCTAGAATGACATTCGTAGCACGTTTTCAAGCCACCGAAGCAGATGTTTCAAGATGACTTCACTTGATGGATGAAAATTTCTATCACGTCTATTGTGTGCCATAGTACATCTGAATTACATACATGATATTTTCCAAGTGATCTAACACTTGGAATCGCTGGACAATGTGGGCTCGAACAGGCCAGGTTGTACAGGCGTAAAGCAGAAACGCTCTAACTGATGCGCTGTATATACAATCTTTAACAGGTAGACTAGCATCACAACGATGTCGGTGGTGACCCAGATTAGCATATACCACTATGGTTGTGAACATGTGGTTGAAAATCTCATCAGCTTTCTCTTACTCGCTTTCATACAGCTACCCAGGTAAAGAATGTTTTTGACAGTTTTCAATAGTTTACCACTGGGAGAGTACAGACAAAGACCGTACCACCAATTTCGTAACCGTAGTTCACAATTCGCCTGCGCAAAACGAACGCCCTACCTATGGACACTGACCGCTAACTAATTGAATACAATTTGAACAACCTGTATACTGTTGGACAGTTAAACGATATGGCATGCTCAAAGTTGAAAACTCTTTCACCTGGCAGCAGATCTACATCTCTACTGTACGCTTCCTTCAAAGCTGTTTTGAGAATGTCATCGATAGCAGAGGTAAAGAGGAATGCCGAAACTGAATAGCCATGCTAAAAAAATACTTAGTATAAATCAATGGAGAAGTGGCTGTAGAACCTTCACCCTATCTTAGGTGTTAAATAATGGGATCTTTAAGATTGCGATGAATTTCTCAGTAACACCAGTATCTAACAGACAATTCCAGAGTAAAATCTTATCGAACCAACCAATGCTATAGTAATATAAAAAAAGACTATTATTGATCTGCAATACTTGATGACGTTCGAACATCTGACAGATAATAACCACGTGATCAATGAACATAACTTGACACTGTGCTCGCGAATCAGTTTTCCACATGTTTTGAAGCATCTGCAAAGTATGATAGAAGCAATATTTTAGATGCAATTGGGAGCAGACCTTGATTTTTATCACTAACGTTACCTAGGCTCTGGGGTTACAATAGCCTCATTCCAGAGTGATAGAACATTTTCAGTCTGCCACGCTTTCTTGAACAACCTAGTCGGTTCCTTAGATATGTATTCTCACCATTCTTAAAAAGACCCAGGGTTAAGTTGCCTGAGCCAGGTACCTTATGGGACACTAGTACTTGCAGTCCTTTCTGGGCCTCTGCTTGGTTAGGAGAATCGGTTTTAACCAACCATTCAGCTTAATATACCGGAGTCAGTGTTTCAGGGACATTAGACTGGCTAAATTTTTTCTGCAGTGTCGCATTCAGGATTCTACGTGTCTGCAAGGGCTAGAGATCTGCATGCCATCTACTTCATTTATCGTCTCCCTGACACCAGGTTTATTGCCACCAGTGACTTAGGTGGGCTGGAAAGCTCCTGACGATTACTAAACAACGCTGCTATCACCATTTCACTCGCGTCGTTTCATCACGGTCGTTACTTAAATGTAAAATCTGTCAAGCAAGGTACTTTCGCATGCCACTGTACTCACTATCTGCCACAGTAGACCGATAAGAGTCAAAAGTCGCATCGAGCTCTCAGACCCAGTGTTTACTAACGGAACGTTCTTCGAAAGCACAAACAGCTTTACTCACTTTTATAATAGCATATTGTAGGTGCAGTCAATGCTCATCTTTATTCCCTAAATGTTTCGACATGTAACTTTGAATTTCGCTAAGTTCTCGTATTCAGTCACAATACTAGGTGCACTCGTTTTGATTACGTCAAACCGTTTGGGGGGACGATTCTGATAGCAACGAAAACGCAAACTCAACTTTGCACACACTCAAACGTGATCAGAGTCGAGACAACTCCTCCAGAAAGAGTAACAGTTATGGAAACACCTAAGTCATCGGTAGCTAGTTGCAACTTGATATCACTTAGTTCAGATATAATTGGCAGAGGAAAATCTTCAATTTGTACGACAGCGTTGACGGTGTCGGAAGTTGGCGCTGTCTGAAAATAGACTGTGCTCTAGATACAGCTATGGAAGACTGTCGATTATCTGATCCCTGACTATTTATCCCCATTTAACTACCTAAACGATTCTCTTCTGAGCCTAGGCACCTGACCTGCACATCCAAGTTCCTGTCTAGCAATATCATATGCGTTGAGCATACTCGGTGAAAAAGTTCAGTCAATGGGTGTGAGAACCCACCATCAACTGCATCCGGAGTGCAGTCCTTCATAGCATGGTCATAGATAATGAAGAGGTGCCATTTCTTTCGCCAGTTTCTGCTCATTCTAATCAAACCTTATCTAACTTCCGTTAGATAAATGTTAACTGGGACCCAGTCAACTTGTGTAACGTAAACTCTAGCACTTAGTGTGACACCAACACCAGCGATGGTGGCAGTCCTTAGACGTACTACAGCATTTGCGCAGCTTACTTATTGTCATATTCGCTTCTACTTCCACCTGTTTATATATTTTTCATAAGTACATATTTACATGGTGAGGATTTCATTTTAATAATTTCAGCTACTTTGTGTCACCATTAGCACAACAGTAAACTTCGTTATTTTGGCATGGCGACCTGGAACTTTATTCGACAATAGGAAACGTAGATAACCAGCTAGTTTCGTTATGCTTGACACAGCGCCTGTGGTATATAACTAACCAATCATAGGATCAGAGATGTTGATTTGCATTCATGTCTTTTATTGAATTAGTCAGGTGGTGGCTTATTGGTTCAGGCAATTGACTTTCAATCATTGAGCTATGTGTCCGAGCCCTGCCTTATCTGCTACTGTTATCTGACACTGGTTGGTTCTTCGTATGCTCTAGTGCATTTTCATTGTGATTGGGATCCACAGCATCATGCTTCAATCTCCAGAAAGTTAGCTAACAAGGGGAGTAGTGTACCGTGTAAAGTATCGCTCTCTACCCAAGATATTAATACTACTGAAGAAAAGGTTTGTATATTTTCGGGACAGTGAAGTCTGTACATTATCCACTGGTTGGAATAAAACCAGTAAAATTCTATTGAATGCCAAGCAGTCAAAAAGTTATACATAGCAGGAGCTTAAACAGTCAAAAGTTGTTTGTATTTTTCAACAACTGGTACAGCGGTTCTGATTTTATTCGATATTTACTCTGGCATTTTGTTGCAAGTATCTTCAACCGATTTCCCCTTGAAATACTACTTATCTTCATTTTTCTGATTGACTTTTGTAGAAAGCTGTTAAAATTACCCTTCCTGTCCCTTCAAGAATTGGAACCTGGTACCAAAGTGTCTGTAAGTAAATCAATAAAAAATGTACATTGCGTGGTGATAAATACCTTATCGTTTTTGATGCAAGGTTAGCTAGCGTAACAATATACTATTTATAATTGTAACAGCAATATAATCGTGGTAATTTGATGTGGAATTGCTGGAATTTTAAATATAACAGTTAGAAAAAATATTGTAAGCCTTTTTCCTTGTAAGGATATAATAAACAAGACGGCTGATAGTTACATTATATCAATTTTGATTAGTTCATAGGTGGAAATTTCATGCAATCTAATATACTACTTAAAGTAGACAAAATGTGTAAATGAAATTTACGCACCTTCTTACTGTCCAATGATTTTGTATTTAGCGAAAACTTCACTAGTCTTTATTTTGCTTTGAGATAATTACAACTAAGAAACACTATTACAACTATCTAGTGTATGGAAGGTTTTTGGTTCTCTTGAAAATAATCAAGTGTTGGAATATTGTTTTATTCACAATCTTGTGCCATAAGTTTTCTGCACAGTATTTTTTTTCCTGGTTAAATTATTTTTATTATTCTCATAAACGCCAACATTCTATTAGCGAACTGAAAATACCAGTAATATTTGGATCAACAGTGCAGTCACTCTCTAACTTATCGCTCTCATGATAATGGGTCTTCTCATCAGTTCTCATCATCGTTAATTCGAGATTCCACCCCGAAAGTGGTCTGATTTGGTGCCTCATCTAACACGGGTATAGTATGGTTGAGCACGTTAACCACTTCGCCTGCCTATGAAGTTCGAACATCCTTAGTGGGTCAGTAACAGAAGCAACCTCTGTATTTATACACAACTCTCAATTCTCTTTTGGAAACTTATACTACCTATGGTACTACCATGAGATCCGATTGTCTGTTAAAGGCTGATTGTATTGCACTGCAATTCGCTTTATTCTGCAACATGGCTGCAAAACATGGTTAATAAAGGTAGAGGCCATAAGAAAGTCTTATGTTTGATGACCATTGCATTCGTTGAAATCGAAAAAGTGCACTCGGCAACCTTGTTCACATTGCTGTAGTAGGTAATAAGCCACACCCATTGTGTGAGGGCTAGTGAAATTATCTGGTTACCAAAACCTCGGTGGGTGGAGCTGTGTTTGAATCTGTGACTGAATGGTTGAACATCAATTCCCTAAACCAATGAGCCACAACTAGTGGCATAGACAGACTGTTTCGTTGTTCCACCACATCAGGAATGCAGAAAGCAGGCGTAGATTTGTAAGTGGAAAGAAGCTTCAGTTGATGAGTTTGTGAAACTTCGTCAACCCATGTGTTTCGGGCGTGTGTTGTGCAGGTTTAGTCATCGTCTGCTTCGTTGTACCACTGTAGCTGAAGCAGAATTAAACTAAAAAAAGGTAAGAAACAGCTGCAATAAAACAATAGTAGTCCTTGATGTCCGTGGCTGTCGATCTGAGCTATGTAGGTAAATGTAGACTTTCAATTTGTTGTCCGCATGTCAAACGGTTGTGGACTAGGTGGTATGGTTTATAATCAATGCGAGTGGTGTAGTTGTATCTACACATTGTCATCGTTTTAATCGTCGTGACGAATTTCGTTATTGTTTTATTCCTTCTTGTTTTCCTTTTGTGAGTTCCTCGCGCTTATGATTATATTTTTTCTTATTTCTCTATCTTTCATCGTGATACCTTCTACCGTATTGTTTTGAATTAAGGTTAGGCTACTGTGGCCGTTACGCAGTAATGCCAGGTCACATACTGATGCTAACTGATTGGATTTTATCTTCAAGCTATATGACTGAACCGGCTTACTTTTCTTCTGTGAGAGTATCTTCTAGTCTCAATCTCTGCATTGATTAAAAATTGTTAGGGCAACTGATTCAAATTATATTGAGCAGTTAATTATTGTTGTATTTTCAAGTGCTTATCATTTCCGTTTAGTTTTGAGAAATTCTATAATTACCTTAAGTAATGATTTTGTAAACTTCAAGATCAAATTTGACCTGATAGAGTTGAATAAGTTGAGCATTGTGTAAATGGATTATAAATGAAATAGATTTGCAAAATCCCAATGAGATAGAAAAATAAAATTCTGATGTTTCTCGACTTCGTGGAAATTGCTTCTTTGTTTTTCTGAAGACTTGGATTTCACAAATATATTTGATTTATAATAATTACCTTTTTTGAATGCACATCGTCGTTAGCTTATGTAAACTATAAATTAGTTTATTTGATAAGCACAAAGTGTGATCTAGCTTATTCAGTCAAATGAGATATTTGTTCGACTAACAGTTTCTTGTCGCTAGACTAAATGACATATACATTGTTTTCCACTTTACTTCACATTTGATAATATAATCCTTTTCATAATAAAAGATGTCTTGAGTGATGAAATATTTCTTTTGTTATGCTGGTTTGCATCTGTAGGCCTTCATCAAACGTTACGCCAAAACTGGTATTGTTGTTCAACTAGAAGGTCGTCTTCATGGTTTAATACCTTATTTGCATACAACTGATGTGAATCTTAAAGATCATAAAGAGAAGTTTAAAGCAGGTGAAAAAGTTTCCTGTCTGGTAAGTTTTTTTTTCAATCACTTATCTACTTCTCAGTGTATTCCAGTTTAAATTCAATCTTTCCTTTTGCTGTGTAATGTTATTTGATAATTTATATTTATTTAGTTATTTAGGTCCAATATACTTGTCAAAAACGTCAAAATGAGCTACATATGTCTATGTATAGCTCTTGTTAGACTAAACTTTATGTGTATGAGCTAAGAAACGCTAACAGGTTAACGATTTTTGAAACATCTGATTCACTAATTAATCGCTTGGCACTTAAATGATTGAATCTCATTTATTTGCAGTTAAACATACCAGCAGAAATGCAACTACTAACCTTGTAAATAGTATCACACTTCCAGTTTCCGTGACAAATAGAACAACCTTGAACTGCCTAGCTAACTAGGCAAACTATTAATTCAAAATATATGACCAGATAAAGTTGAGATTCTCCTATAATCTTCATACACTTGTGACTATTTTAACCATGATAATCACGTCGCTTATATAAAAAACCAAATAATCAATTAACTCAAACTCTCTAAGATATTAGTGATGTATCGAAATGTTCACTAAGTGTTGAACAGGTGTAGTATCAGTGCGCACTGAAAACGAGCATACTGTGCATCCGTTCTCTCTGTGCTATTATGCGTGTATGAGATGGTCGTTGGGAATAGGTATGAAATAGCTACAGGTTTATGATCATTCACGTCTCTGTAAAATTGCCCACATGTGGTAGAACCAACATTGGAGTGATTTCGCGGTTTGACACGGATTACTAGGCAGGAAAGGCAAATCAGTAGATGAGGTTGTAAATTTTTACTGATTCTCATGACTGGGATGTATATTGCACATGTCGGAAAAGCGCCTACCGCAACGTTCGACATTAACGGAAATAGGATTAGGATAAGATAAAGCTGAATGTAGAAAAACCAAGACGTAACACTAATCCATGAGATCTTAGACAACTGTGTCTTGCGTAAGTCTTCGAGATGATCTCAACCAATATTAGAAAACTCCTCATGTTAAAGATCACAGTTGGTCATAGTGATATTTATGTATACACTCCTCGTTGTCTTTAAAAGTTCGAACCTGTTCAATTATCTTAATTAATTGATTCCGTTTCTACTCACCTATGCACATCTACCTGTTCTAATTTCTTTTTCTTTCGATTCACTTCTTGTTTGTGTACTTATGGTAAGGGAAGCAACTTGAAGCGATTTACTTTTGTGTCAAATTCTGTGCTGATTCGTTTATCTGTCAATGCATTTTGTAGATATATATGTTAGACATCACTATTAATGGCATGTCGAGCCCACCGTTATGTTATTGGTAAACCCCTAGAAATGTCTCTCACCTTTAGTGAAACCATCAACTCAGTATTGCATAGGAATAGTTATCATACTAATGAACAGAGCTGGTTTTTATTGCTGTAAGATGATGACCAAAGTTTGGCGGAAACCACGATCCTTCAGTTAGAGCTCAACACTATCCGAGGTCACTTCAGATAATTTAATCAGCTAACTTCATTAATTTGCACTGGGCTCCTGCGATTGAATGTATTTTGATGTTCACTTGTAAAAACATGACTTTTTGAATGTCTGCACAAAATTTTCAACGTACCTCAATCTTTCATCTTTTACTGAGACATCCAAGTGTCTTAACTTTCTCTGAGTAAACAGGTTATAACTCTTGGATTGCACTATTTGTAACTGAAGTACCTTGAAGTGAGAGTGTTTCCTTACAAAATCTATCTTCATTCTCTATTAGACTACTTTACATTTATTCAGTGGACTTTGATAAGTGAAAAACTTATTGTAAGAGTCACCTGAAGAAACGCACCTGAGAGTCGCATAGAGTCAGAAGACTATCGGATTTTCTTGTAACGATAATTATTAGTGGTTCTGTGTTTAAAAGGAGTTAATGCATAAGTCTGTAAACTTACATTCGAGTTGATTTAACAACAAACAACGTGCAAGCTACAGTTAACAAACCGTGAAAATGAAAAGTTCAATATGGCTGAATGCCAACTTGTAACCTCGACTTATCAGGCAACAAGAAATCACACACGACAGAGGAAATCAAGAAACTGGGCACATAAAATATCGGTCACGCATAAGTAATACAATCAAAATCATAAACAAATGTTAAATTTACAATCAAGAGAGTCCAACTATACTGTACTGTAAAGACACTTTTTACGGAATAAGAATGTCACCGAAGCTCGTTATGACACTCATATTGGAAGACTCCTACTGAAAAGGTGACTTACACTGAATTTCATGCATAACTTCAAGTTAGCGTTTTAATTCTTGGATTGTGAGGCTGTGGCGCAGTAGTTCACGGTTTCGAACCGAGGTAGTATCACTAGCCTTCACACAATAGGTGTGGCTCACTGCTGCACAGATGTACACAATGTTGTTTTGCATTCTTCTGGTTCAGAAATCAAATTGGTCATAAGGTTCAGTGGACGAGGTTATAAGTCCTTTTTTATCACAGATGGTTTCTTAGCATTGTCGTTGCGTAGTAGGATCGCAGGGTAGGACGAACTGAAGTCAGGTGTAAAGTGCTAGGCAACAGCAATCAGCGGGAAAAGCTGAAGATGAAGATTATATAATGGTTTAAAGCTTTTTGAGCTTTTCTTCAGGCTTAATGACATCATCCGTACTAACTTCATTAAGGTGGTTATGATTGAACCCGAAGGTTGTTGACATAGAATCACGCTAACACGAGGTTTTCTCTCTCAAAACTCCAGTCATCCCACCATTAGACTGTATTTTGCTACGAGAGACAAAATCATTATCTCTTCATGATGCTGAATTGATGGTTGGACTGGACGAAAGGGACAGAAGAGTGCTGATGATGTTATCAAGCCTGTTAAGGAAATATATACTTCAAAATATTGAAGCTCAGATAACACTAAACTGTTGTTAGTTGGTGACATTAGTAACGTTCGCCGTGATAGATATCATGTTTTAGGTATATCGAACCACCGCAAACCTCGAAGATCAAAATTGAGTATTAGGTTTTAAAAAAGCCAAAGGTAGCAAAACTAGGACGTGTGTTACTTTTCATCTGCACTGTATCAAGAAGTACAAACTGTGGCAAGCTGCAAATCAAATCTTTCTTTCCTCTTTGAAAACAACTCTCCTTCTTGCTGTACTACTGTGATATATATATCAGATGACCAGAACACCGTGACCTTCAGACAGGACAGATACACATCGAAATGCTCTACGATTAGTCCCAACATTTTTGAAGGCAGATGATACGTATGGTATCGTTCTACTTTGATTCTAAAGAAATACATATGTGTATCTTGTCTGTCATCTTATCACTGATAGTCGGACAATTATCCAAATACACTAACATTCGAACTTTTTAGAGAGTTACATTGGAAGGCTAGTGTAAGCAGTCTATCCAAGCAAATTCATAACAGCACTTTACTTTTGGGTACTTCAGAGCGTATATCGTATTTGAGAGCTGTGATCACCGACTGACTATATTCATTTTTATATGACGTGTACACTTTCTAGCAATAATGTTACAAACCTTGCACACCAAACAATTTCTCCCCCAAGGCAAAATATTCATAACAGGATTTCTGCTTACTTCTTTCAAAACTATCCCATTTCTCATGATAATCTTTGTTCAGTATAAATGTAAGGTAGTCATTTTTAATTGTGAAGACAGGTTTTGCAGTCTAAATTTTACCGCATAGCTTTTTCTAAAGTTGTGCTTATAATAATCAAAATAACTGTTGATTTTTGCTGTATAAAAAAATATTCACGTTTGATATTTTCGAATTCATCTAATTTTATTTATAGGTTCTTCATGTTGATAAATTTGCCAAGAAATTGCTTCTAACCGCAAAACCAGGTTTACTGAATGCTGAGTGTATAATATTTGGCAGTCAGAAAATGTTCATTGCACTGGATGATAAAGATAACACCGAACGAGTTTTTGTCGGATTTATTGTGAAAGTTAGCGAGAAAGGTTTACTTGTCTCTGGTCTAGATAATATTCGTGGGTGGATACCTAAACGTGAAACTGGTTTAGGTGTTGGAGATTCATTACAGGCGAATTTCTACCGTGGACAGGTATTGAAGGTGAAAATGAAACGGAATTTGGATGTACCATCGTCTCATTATACTGCAGATGAAAACCAGCATATTAGGTCAAAATATCTGCTATCCCTAAAGGTATGTTCGTTCCCACCCCACCCCGTGTTTCTGTTTTGTCATTTTTAAATTTAACTGAAGTGGTGCTGAGTAACTCAACTGTATAACAGTTTCTTACACTATAGTATCAGACGCAATGGAAGCATTGGTGATGCAAAGTGAAATGGTAGTTACTGATTCCTTTTATATTCATGTCTTTGAACACATTATGAGAAGTTTAGAGTGAAATTTCGAATGATCACCTATAAATGTGTTTCATACCTTCAGTTTTCTTCACAAATGCGAGTGATTACATGTTTCAGATTTAAGCTACATTAACCGTTTTTGAATCTGCAGCTAAGGAGTTTGATTAAATATATGTGATCTGCATTTTTTTTTCCTGCTAAGTTCTTTGCCTTCTCTGGTATCATTTTTTATTGCTTGATTTTTCATTTCTTGGGTTTCTTTCACTTTACACAATCGAAGTTTCACAACTTGAACCGATACGATACCGCACTGGGTCGTTACCCAAGCTTGATTACAGACTGTTCATGTCATTTGTCAACGTAGTGTACTGTTTTATGCTACTTCTGTCAGATAAATCACAATCTATACTTTTAACTGAGTGTTACACCGCAGTTGAATCGTTTTAATACTATTGACCTACTAGAAATGTCAATGTGAGCTGTTGTCTTTTCGAGCTCCTTCAACTAAATGTAAACGCCAAACAACTCATTCTATCCAGTTGATCAGAACTAATCAATCCTAATAGTTCAGATATCAATCCCGAATTATCTCATAGGAAATTGCTTGCAAATTAAGACTGGAAGAGTGAGTGAGACCACTGCTTAGTTTCAATATCATAAATTGTTACGTTTTTTTTTCCATTCGGTACCAGTTTATTCAGCAATCATTAGTCTATAGAACATGCAACATGCATTGAGCAGAATAAATAGTATAATGATACCATGAAGTCAGGAGAAGTAATCCAACCTAATGGGCAAGCGGGTTTTCGTTTACTGGACAATAAGGGCCTATTATACTGGCCTCTGGGACTTTAGTAGGTAGAGTGAGATCTGGACCCACTACTTGAAAGTTGTTCTACTTAGACGGACGAACCAACAACGTAATAATGTGATGGAAAATAGGTTTACATAAAAATCTCAAGTTTTTAATAATACAAGGTTTTAATTACGTTTTGAATGGATTTTGTAATGATTATACTTAACCATTTTACCGAATCTAGTCTGTCTGTTCTCCTTCAATGCACGATTATATAAGCGATGAAAGATTATATTTTACTGCATTTCAGTTCGATTCCAAGAAAACCACAAAAGTAAACAATTCTGCGCTTTTGGAATCCATAAAAATTGGTCAGGTATGTTGGAAATCATCTTTTTTCTGAAGTTCAACAGTTTTAACATGTCATAACTATCCAAAAAATTTATTAAAAAGTACTGAGAGAATGCTATACTGTTTCCGAATTCTAACTCAATGCGTTAATCATTGAAGCTATGACTCATTGGTTGAGGCTTCTGTCTACTAATCACATAGTCACAGACCGAAATCCACTTCTGATTACTTTTTCGGGAGCAACATGTTAGTAATACAACAAATAAATAAATACGGATCAATGAGATGTTAAGAAATCTAGAACTGAAAAAGGGCGAGTATGTCTATTTGTGCCACTGTGACTGATTTCACGAAATGTTACCGACAACTTCAAACCACTGATTCCTAAAAACCTGAAGGTAACGTTCAGATATCTATCGCTTCTCTACATGATTCAAACCAATGGTCAGAAATTTCATGGTTAGCACCGTGTTATGGTCTCTGCTTTCTTACAACATAATCTTACGGTAGCATTTCAGTAGAAGGTGGTTCGTAAGCGTAACACATTGTTACTCCAGTCAGTGCAAGTTCACTGCTTCACTTAGAATAATAATGCATCAGACATTGTGGAATGTTTTGTACATCTGTTTCAATTTGGAACCTATTTATCTTATCCATTGAATAAGGCAGTGTTAGTGACCTGTGGTAAACCTTCGTCTAGGATGTATTACCTGCATAACCATTTCAGGAGCAGAAATAGTAAGATTTGAGGGAATGTTGTAGACATTATGTAGCCTGTTTGAATGTGGTCCTAAAGGCATTGGAAGCTGTGCACAATAACACCTGTATCAATCCCAAAATTACTGTGTTTTTAATACAAAGATTGTGAACTAAGGCGTTACATAGTGTTGAAACTGGTATTAATAAGTCCAACTGGAATTGTAACAATCCAATAAACAGTCAATTTGTCACTTCATTTTTAATAAATCAGCTAAATTTACATTGAGTTGAAAAGACCTGAGTGAGAAGCTAGTGTGATGATGAATGGGTAGTTATGGCTAACTCATCGACCTGACAGTCAGGTGAAATAGGATGTTGGGAGTGGAATTGAAACATTGTTAGCAGTTAATTCTCTTAGTTCGTTTAGGAAGGTATTCAGTGGGTAGACCGAAAGTTTTTGGTTTGACTCTTTTAGTAACTCAGCTTTTTATTACAATCTCAAATCATCTTACCCTTAAATTCGGGATTTTTGACTAGACTATCGGATGAAGTCTTTTTTGTTTAGTGGGTCCGTCCTAATGTGTTGGAATGATGTTTAGAGCTAAATGAGAGTCTGAGCTCGAAACCATACTGCAACTCACATTTTCCTCCAGTTTTAGTCATCACCTTTATAGATCAGCAAATTGTTGGTGATTCTGGATAATTAGTCTGTATGAAGTTAGCTTTGTAATGGAAAAATGAACATTTCTCACGTATCTACAATGCAATCAATCATTTGTATTTCGTTTCATTGTTTATTTAGATTTTTAAAGCAACTGTTGGACAAGTCTCTGACACCGCGTTAACTGTTGATTTATACAATGTCGTAAACTGTCAAAGTTCTGTAAAGCCTATACTGGGTTCAGGGTGTCTTTCTTACGATCAATTGTCTGATTTTATATCAAATCAAATTATTTTAACTCGATATGTAAAAACTATGCAACATGGTTCAACTCTTACTTGGAATCGATCGGAGGATAGTGTTGTTGTTATTGGTAAAGACAAACAAAACCTTATCTTATCTGCTAGACCAACATTAATCCAAGCCGCTAGAGATTTGCATGCACATGGGAATGAGGATGCTGTTAATAAGATAGCGTCTGTTGGGAAGCCGAGTTTCCTGAGGTCATTCGAGGAATTACAGGTGAGTTCAGGACTTTTGTATTTTCTTTGGGATCTGTTATCATCAGGCATATTAGTCTGTCTTTCAGTTCTCGTTATTCACATCAACAGTCGAGATAAGGTTATCATAAATGTTTAGCTAACTAATGAGAGAGATTCATTAGGAAAATATAGGAATGATAAATGCTTGAGACAATGTGTAAAAATTTAGGGCATATATCTAGAGCATCATATCTAGATGGTCATGAAAAAACTAAAAGTTAGTAGGTGTAGAATGCTGTAAATTTCATAATTTGGTGTCTTTGCCATACGGTTATTCTTCGGTTGCGTTTTATGTGTCATTTCCTTTTTTTGCATGAAAGTTGAAAGTGCAACATATCTGTACTTGTTCATCGGTTCAGAGGAAGCTGCTTTGTCAGGATTAGTAATTATCATGTAAACATTTTCAATATTGAGATAATAAGTTCAACTTTACGAAGGAATGTCTATGTGTTTATTCTTAACCGTTATCTTCGAAAAGTGAAATTTTTTATAGATTATGTGGTTGTTTAGGTCATTAAGTGTGCAATATGGATAGTGCGGTGAAAAAGAATCATCAAATTTGAATCCACCTACATCACAAAGTGCACAACGTTTGCACCACTCACGAAGATATAAACCAAATGAAAAAATTCCTGTAGCTGCTTTTCCCAATTCAGCAAATAACAGTATCAGTACTTACCGATAATCATTGTTTAGTCCTTAAAATCTTATCTATACAGAAACTACTTTCCAAATCCGCATTTGTTGAAATTGGCTCAAAAGTACTCACTTTTATCCACACCGCACATAAAATCACTTAAGCTAATCCATTGAATTTCTACGCTTTTATAACCCTAGACTTTAAACCAGATGGAATGGTGAACAATCCTTCCTGTAAATTTACTACTGAGTTTCTATAATTCTAAATGACTTTTCTTTTAGGAATACTTTTAGTTATTTTGTCGACAACGTACATTAGTTGCGCAACTGGTTTACCACAGTCTCTAACTGAAGACAATGAACCCGATAGTTTTTCGTTTTCTTATTAATTATGGACTCAGTTTGCATGAAATTATCGCTAATTTTTAGGAATTGGTACTTTCACAACAATTACTCAGATTTCACTTCTGTTTTCACAAATGAATATCAACTGGAGAACCGTTGAAAAGTAACGTGAATTGAGTAGCCTATGTACCCTGCTTATTAGCATTATAATTCCTTTTTCGCATGATCTTTGTGGTTCTTTCTCTCCAACTTCTATTGATTCCCAGCACTCCATAACGCCATCCAATGTCATCAATAGACATCCATCTGACTCTCAGGTGAATCAGTCTCATAAACTAAGACCTATAGTTAAGCAAACTGTTTTAAAAATAGTCACCAGTTAGAACGTAACAGCTAACAAATGCTTTCTGGTTTTCATTGGTTGCCTAGATAACATAAATCCTTTATTAGAGCTAAATTGAATTCAGTCTATTTCTCATAAACATTTTGTCATTTTTTATGTTCTTCCAATAACACTTCCTACCATTGTTCATCTTATTTTTTGAGGCTACATTCTTTGGCTGTTACTTTGTTCAATCGGAAATTTCATTTCACTTCAATGTTTTTATCTGTTCGTAACTATTGCCATTGTTTCATTTTATTATTTTACGGGCTTTTATCGTCTTTGTTATTTAACTTTTTTTCATAACTAACAGATTGGAAGTCATTGGTTTACCTGGGTATCAGAACACAGAGACTATGGAGTACTGGTTAGCTTTCCTTCCGGTATTCGTGGATTAGCGCCAAAGCATCTTATATCTGATTATCCCCTCCCATCTTATGTCGATTGGAAACAGTTGTTTCCATTGGGTGCCACTGTTATCGCCAATATTGTTGAAGTTGATCATGTGAAGCGTCGTTGTTTGATAAGTTTGAAAATGTTTGATATATACAATACTGAAGTACATTATGAAGGTTTAGCGATACGTTCACTAAACTATTGGTTAACAGAAAGGGAATGGATGTCAAATAGGGGTAAGTAAATGCATTCATTTTCGAGGTTTGTGGACAATTAATTGGAATTTTTATCGCAGATAGACACTAGTCAGCAAGCCATTAAAATTATGAGGTCAATTGACAGCTGTTTTGTCGTAGTTTAAAACTCTTCGGTAGTGTGCATTCATGACCTTATGTGTGATAAAAGTCGGAACCGTCAGGTATCATGATATGCAAGGTGTCATTCAGCTACTGGGTTAGTATCTGTCTGCTCATGTTTCTCAACTTCCACCAATTCATGTTATAGTGTGATCATCATTCGATGCCGTTGATGAATATTTGCTTTCACATCCGGCTTTGTCGACCCTACAAGTCATTGTTCCCCACTACAACTGTGGAAAATCCATCTCACAGTTAGTTAGTAGCGAGCATTGGATTGTTATTCGATTTGACGGCTTACAGGGCTTGTTTGGTTTGAATTTCTCAGTGGTTCTCCGGCTGATGTCGATCCGCGATGAAAAGTCTTGTAAGTAAAGTTATCAGTCCTAAGTGGTAGCTAAGTATTGATTTTTTACTGTCTGTTTTGGGCATGGCATAACACTCATCACTTTTTTGGTTATTTCAGTTTCTTCTTTTACAGGAGCTCTTTCAAAACCTTTGTAACACACATTATAGATGTATATATATAATCTTCTGAGAGTACAACATGTAGGAAGTATCAATGACCTTTATACGGTGACTCACAACTTAGTGATAAAGTCTGTGACTTCCATATTGAGTGACGCAGACCCAAACCATCCAAGGTATACCAGTTTCTTCATGGTTGTGAATACTGCTCGCTGATGAGTTGCGACAAGTGCTAAACTTAATTCCAGAGTTCTCTTATGCCTAATTTCTAACATTTAATACTTTCATTAGCATTTCAATAGCATATTTAGTCATTTCTTCCTCTCGTTTTAGACGAATTGTTACGCTCATTTCGTATTGGCGATGAAGTCATTTTTAAAATTGAGTTACTGGAGGATTCTTTGATTTCCGGTATGGCAAGTAAACAACCAAATAAAAATGACTACAAACACGGCTTATGGATAAAATCTATAGCTTACAAAGCGAATATATTAAATACGGAGTGTGTAATATCCCAAACATATCCAGCTATTGTATGCTTTGTTGATCATCTAAAATCACAACTAGAAGTTGTTTTATCCCCATGGCTGGTGAATGGTGTTATCAACCGAAAGGAAAATGTTTCTAGTCAATTAAAGGGTAAACAACAGGTATCGTCTATTGTACTTGCACGCTGTAATTCAGATATGGTTGTTGTTGGATTACGTGGACATGCATTGGGACTGTTGGGAGTAGTTCCAGCAAAACGTACATTTAATGATATCACTGGGGCAGATGCTTGGAGTATAGGTCAGAGAAATAAAGTAACTTTTCGAGAGTAAGCATTTAACAGACTGTATTTATTTCCATTATATATATATATATATATATATATATATATATATATATATATATATATATATATATATATCAGTAATCAATTTACTATTTGTTAAGTGATCTATTACTACTGAACAACTAGTAGCGAACTATCTATAACACCTTTTACATAATGTCAGTTCAAATGCTTTTTCGTCGAAGAACAAATTTGCATAATGTAATAAATCTGAATTAAAGAGAAAGCTTTTTTATGACACTTAAAACTTGGTTTTGTCTACGATTTTCCTTGAGTAACAGGGTATTGGCACCTTGAGTGAATTGTAACGTTTTCTTGCCTGGATCAGTAATTTTATGTCAGACACAAAGCATTCTCATTTTTTATGGTAATTTACTTGGTTGTGGCTAGCAGAGGAATCCAGGTCACGCGTTTCGTTTGATTTGGGACTCGGGAGCTGGATGTACGTGCACCCCAGTGAGTGATGTTGTTCCCACCGAGACTCGAATCTCATGGGTACCAAATAAGACGTGCGTCCTGGATTCCTCTACTAGCCACAACCAAGTAAGTTGCCATAACTAACATTCGGGCAATATCGAGGCATCCGCATAAGAGCCCATATGCCAATAGAGGTTGAACAATTCGATCCAGTAAAACAACGGAGAATTAAAAGCATATAAATAAATGGTAATTCTCGTTTCTTATCACTCAAAATCATTCGAAAGCAGGAAAATGTAAGGGTTACTCATCAACTTTGTATGGGTTTGTGCACTAGGCATAAGCTACACATATTTCTATGCAGCTGGTGATACTGTTTAGATGCTGAAACTTCTGTAGGTGAAGGAAAGTTCCATTTCTTGACCCAATTGTAGGAAGTTAACTGCCTGAAACAGTAAGCTTCAGAAAACGTTTAACGCGCCAAGCCATACAGAAGGGAACTGAAGTACAGTTCACTTTGAATCCGCATGTGTTGGTTAGTTAGATATAATCGATAAATAAATCATGTAACACTTATTTTTCTATCTTGTATTGCATTTTCAATGCATTAAAACTCGGAAAGATATATATGCCACAGCATGGAGGTGTGGTTCAGGGGTCTAGACACTCAACCCTAAGTTGTTGATTAACAGGACCGGATCTTGCTCCATCTCACTTAGTAACTATGGGACATTGCTTGGTAACAATAAACTTCGACGTGACTGTTAACTTATATTTTTATTTTATTATATCTTTGTTTTGGTTTTTGACAATTGCCTACTTTTATTATTAGGTCATTCAAACAAGATAACAGTCCAATAAAATTAAATTTATGCACTCTGAGTATTTATGACGCGATTAATGGAAATCAGACTGAACAGTCAAAGAAAAAGGGGAATACAAAAAATCAAGGTAATGGTAAGAACTTAAGTGTGGGTCTAAGTTCTTCAAAAATACTCAAACTGGAACCTGAACAATGCCTTACTGATCTGTACTTTGTAAGCATTTCTTCTCAGACAGCATTTTTCGCAGTTGGTTCAGATAAAGGTCCACATGTATTGTGTCATTTAGTCAACTGGGATACCAGCGTTAAAGCCATCAAAGCATTTTTAAACAATCCTCCGGAAGTTGGTACAAAGATTGATCGAACTGCAACTGTTCTATTCTCCATGATAGAAGATAAACTTATTTTAAAAAGCAAATACAAAGGATTTCGTTCCAAAATTGCTGAAATTTCCTTTCTGGGTAAGTATCTAGCTTCTGTTGATATTCAGAGTTAATATTTTTCGACTAAATCGTTCATGGTATAATTTCATGATTTATTCTTCATGTTTTGGAAGGCTTGTTTGAAAAAAATACCCGGTGATGCCGTGGTTTCTTCCTGATAAGAGAGATACCAATGGAAAAACAATTTAGATAAACGGAAAGGATTTCAAACGTGATAGAGTAACTTATCAATTCAAATTACCGTGGGTGAAAGCAGCTCATCAAATATAAAGACAAAACAACAGTGATATTAATAATGTTGAAAACTGTTGTTAAGGGTAAGTCTAGTTGAAGCATCACAGGTTCTAACGGGAAAATACAATAATAATTCATTAACGTCACATAAAGTAGGTGATCTTTCAAGCATATCACTTAAATTTTTTTATCACTGTCTAGCTGTTGTTTCTGCAGGCTTAAATCAGTTGTCAGAGATTGTATGTACTGATATCTTGATTAGATCACTGTGCATTAACCAGCTATACATTGTGTTCTTATATTTATCCCGACCGATAGCTGCTACCTTGACATGGTGGTCGGGTTTGTATACCACAGTGACCAAACGAGCTGTGCTGGCTTGTTTCTTTAAGGTTTTACCATGCCAGAAAGGTCTGTTGGATAGTGGTAGGACGAAAAGCAGTTACCGTTGTGGTCTACTTTGCTACACTATGACGGGGGTCTGAGGGAGGAAGTCGTACTGCTAGCTGAATGGGGTTTGGAAGCAGTAAGACATTTCCCTTGGATGACCATCAATACCGCTCTGATATTTCCTCCCCTACGGGAATGGGGTCGGTCTAAAAAATAACACACCCAGCCCTTTGCGGCATGCCGATACCTGCAACAGAGATTCATAGTCCGATTCAAAAGTGAAAAACTAAAATCTCAAACTTGCTGAAAGGCCGTGTGTGACTGGCCTCAAGCAGGTATCCCTTAGGCTCGACGTTTGCTGAAGTCTTTTTCTCTTTCAGATACACCAAGAGCAGCCGAGAAGTGTTAGTTGCCTACTTGCTTTCAGTAGTGTTCCAGGCGCAATCAAACATAACCTATCCTCCTCAACTCTTTTACGTCCTTTGCCTTCACCTCCTGATATTAACATTAGACTTTCTACACCTTCAACCTTTCATTCTGGGATCATTGCCACCGAAACTTCATTCCTAGTCTCCTAAGACCTTACCATCGGTCTCATCTAAGAGCTTTCAATTCCCAGACTCTATGCCATATAGGACAGCAAGCATCGCTCGCCAAAACTCTGGAATCTCTCTCCGTGGATGTATGCTGTCTCTGAGACACGTATACAGAACCTGAGTGTAGTTATTAAAATGACCTCACCTATCCATAATAGTGAGTCTTGGAAATTCACCTTACGAGCATCTGGAGACTCGATGGCTAGCTCTCGTGAACTCGCTCGTGTAGATACAGCGTTGAGTTGTAGGACAGAAAGTTCATTTTTTGATTGCATACCGGTCAACAATCGTCTATGTACTATCCGACCGAATGGATATGTAAGACGTGGAGTAATCTTGATACCAACTGATGCCTACTCATAATCTCCGCCGACTGCAGTTCAAACAATGCAAGGAAGGGATTTTGCTGCAGAAAGCAAAACGTTGATAATAGCGGTTGTCTTTGGCACTGAAGTAAGTAAGCTGAGTCAATCAGAAAAGCATCCGGTAGATATTTACAGAATCCCATGCCAACGAACCAACAACTTAGGTCATCTGTTGCAGTTTTGTTCTAACATCACTTGTTTCTGGCCAGCACTAGTTTCCAGCATAAATACAGACACTGTCTCATATGGCATCCACCGAAATCAAACCAATGATGGACACAGGTTGTATTACTGTAAGCCATCGTTGGAGAGGATCGGTGAAAGATTGTCGCTTTTTCTTGAGTACCTGTTTGGACTCCAATCACACGTTTGTTGAGACTCGTTTGTGTTTGCACCTTACTGGTCACTGGAAACAGGTGACAGTGAAGCCTGTCCATAGTCGACTGGAAGATGAGAATGTCAAGTACGCACTGGGGGAGGAGATGGGTAAGCGTATTCTGAACGTGACAACAATGCTCAACTTAAGAAAACTTGGTGTGATATTAAGTCTGTTGTAGAAACAGAGGTAAAGACAGTTGTTAACCTACACCCGTAGGTTGGCAAACATCAGTGGATTTCTACAAATGTCATCCGAGCTGATTGATGCGAGAAGACTGACTCCAGATAACTCTGACCATAATGAATCGCGAAAGCAACTAAAACGTAGATTGACTAAGAGTTCTCGCAACGGTCGCGAGAAGTAGTGATGAGTGATGAGAGCGAGAAAGATGGAGAAAGTATCAGTGTCAGGTAGAAACTAGTAACTATTTAGGCTGATTAAGGACACTGGTGAGTGAAACAACCACCGAAAGGAATGTTAACACCTGTATTACCGCTACTGCTCATGTTTTATTACAGTATCTTAATTTGGGTGGGTCGTTATTGAGAAGTAAGGTATGCCTAATTTATCTGATTTATTACCTTACTAGTAACCTTTTTCATCCGTCTATCGACATACGGTGAGATGATCTAAAGTCTAAATAGCGATATAAATGGAAAGTTTTCTATAGAGATTGGTCTTTTAACTTCCATTTTGTTTTCGTTTCATCCTGTAATGCAAGATCGCTGTCTCCTCTCCACAATTTTCTATTTCTTAGGTAAATCGGATTGCGTTCACTATTGAATTTAGGTGTTTAAATACTCGGGCTTCGGTACTATAACGGTATATTATCTGCATATCTGAACCATATCTTTAAGACTAAATGTTTCGAAGAATATTCGTTCCCAACTGTCCATAAATATGTCTGTAACTGTAGGAGATATTAGTGTGTTGTTAATCACTAGTTTATAAGAGCACTAAGTGGAAACATGATTTGATTCTGCTCATAGGCGATTTTAACGGCGATTGTAGGACAGTGTTAACTTGTTTCACTCACTAACAGCATCGACGGAGTTTGCAAGAAGCGTTAACCTGGAAGCTTTGAATGTAGTCGTCACCGTTGGTTTTTCCTTTATCTATTGTCTCCAATTTATTTCCTTAGTGTTTATTTCCTTAACCTTGGTTTGTTTCTTCACATTCCTTCTAACTCCTGTCTAATATATATATTTATTTTTTCCATAAATATGCATGAGATAAGCTAAATCGAGTGTTTTACTAATAACACTAATCTCATCCATTAATAAAGCTTGTTCATGAGTAATCAAATGGACTTCAGTAAACCACAAAATGAAGATTCTTAAATTGCCTAGAAGACATATCCTGGATACCGTTACCAGCCATTACTCAAACTCTCGATACAATTAATGGGACAAACAAATAGTCAACTAACATGTATGTCTTCTATGAGAAATTTTCTGTCCCGCTAATTATGAGGACAGTTAGGAATCTGTTTGTGTGTTTGACAAGTAATTAAGAACGTCTGTTTAGTGAATATTAGTAATTGGTTACATTATGCTAAGCCATAGTGGTTCCACTAATGATCACAGTATGTTTTATTTTACTACTGTATAAAACAAGGTTTTGCTTGGAATTAAATAATAAATAATTTGTCAATAGTTGTTTCACGTAGAAAGTGCTTTAAAGTTATTAGTTCGGTGAGAAGATTTACAGTTGTTTCGGCCTATTAAGGATACTGGCAAGAAGGAGATAAAAGTTAGTGGGGCCAACACCGAAAAGTTTAGGTCATTGATAACCTCTCAGTACAGGTTGTTAAGACGTTAAACGGAACACTCTAATGAACAGTTTAACTGGTTGCGCCTCAATTACTCAAGATCCAGCCCGAACCAGAGTAGGACGTTGATATCAATCCTCCAACTCTCCTCGAAGTTGAAAAGTCTCTTTTATATTTGAACTAATGCAGAGCAGCAAGACCTGACTCTTTGTCACCAGAAGTTTCTAAGGATGAAAGTAGAATGGGTAGGACGATAGGGGTACTAACCAGTGTATTAGAATTACTGATAATTCCGTCAGATTGGTCTATACCGTTAATTGTAGCACTTTATATGAAGGGAGAGAAGTCTTCTTGTTACAAGCATAGGGGTATAACTCTAACTAAGATTGTTTCCGAAATCCTAGTGTCCATAGTTATCCGACGCCTAACTTATCCTCGAGAACTACAAACTCCCTAAAACTAAGCAGGTTTTAAGCATGGACTAGGGGGCTTCAATGAAATCCACCATTCTACAGGTTTTAGAACACAGACATACCGACAGCTGACATTCACCACATTTCTAAACCTGAAGGTGATATTTCATTCTGTCGATCGATAAGTTTTGCAGTAGTATCTGACTAGGGAGTGAGCTAAGTATAGAGAAACCGTATTGTGCTAGTCAAAGCTCCCACGCAGCCATGTAAGAGCTTATGGAGAGTTATCTTTTGAAATAACGAATACTGTTGGTATCTGTCAGAGATGCTTATTATTGCCCTTCATGTTCAACATTGTTATAGACGTACCAATAAGCGTAACGATAGGTACTATGTGCTTTTCAGAGATTGACCTACCCCCGGGATAGCACTTGGTTGAATGAAAGCACGAATGGGACAAAACACAGGGCCTTCTGAGCACCGTGAACAGAAATCTGATTCCTTGGCATGCGTTTTTCACCTGTTAGTTGCAAGGCTGGTCTAGTTTTAGAATAGGGATTGGAGTGGTTGAGTGTGTATACCGTTTTATTCACTTGGGTTTGTTGCTTACGAAATAGCTTCATTATCAAACACCCACTTGATATTTGCCAGCCCACCTAAACTTTGGCACAAGTGAGCTGTTTGAGTACTTATTAAAAGACGAGTATGCTGCGGTGCAGTTCACTCTGTTCTGTTACACGTCTATGAGAAGTAAAAGACAGTTAGAGGTCTGACCACAGGTGTCTTCGTAGCTTTGCCCTTAGTTGGTGAAATTACCGTCTTCCAAATGTTGAGGTTAGGTAAGGAAAGTCAGATTGGGAACTTGGTTTC